ATGATATTATTTGAAGAAATAAATTTAAAGATTAAAAAAAATTATTAAAATAAACATAACAATCATAAAATTAATTCTTATAAACATTTTATGAGTGTCAAACTAAAGGAGACAAAGTCAGATTAAACGATTAGATTTCAGCTAATTGAACTATGGGATTACTTTTATTTTTAATTTATAATAGATTTTTTTTCTTCTTAACGAAATTCATTGATTGTTATTGAAACTTCACTGCACATTTTATTGTGATTTATGCATTCTTTTAGATGTTTGTCATATCATTCTTATGAATATATATATTTTAGAATTACTAATGTTATGCATTATTTAAATGTAAAATTGAATGAAAAAAATATATATATGAATGATGTAAATTGCATAGACATATTGCATTTATGCAGGACTATATTGGAGTCCGCTCTTTTATGGAACTAGCGTGGGAACGCGAAAGTACATGGGCACGTAAATGAAAAAAGATATTGATATTCATGTACCTTCATTGTTACAAGTTTAGATTGTGCTCCTGTGATGATTATATTCAAATTAGAAAGATATTGAAATTTAAATGATACAGAAAGACATAATGAATGTTCAGAATTACATTGAATGAACATTTTAGATAACACAAACTTTCAAATGCTCTTAAATTTATTTACATAAAGTTTTACTGACATGCACTTTATTCTCTTTTCATTGCATTACTATTGTTTAAGAGTATGAGTATTCAGTAACTATGAATAGCTCACTTATGTTTTAAACTACATTTCAGGTTTAAGTATTTGATTAAAGATGAATAATAAAAGATAAAATATTTATGACTAATGCAGACAACTAGAAATGAGAAATAAATTGTTTTGCTTTAATCTTTTTAGTTCCTTTTTCATTTATTAAATGTTAGTTATAGGAAATGAATATATAAAAAAAAAAATTAATTTCCACTGTCTGATTGTCTGTGGCCGCTTTAGTTAACTCTAAACCTCGGATTGGATCGGGCCGGTGACACTTACCCACATGGTTATCATTGGAAGGTGTTGAAAATGAAAAATCAGTTGTAGAGTCAAGTTGCAACCATTAGAAATATTGAAATAATGTTTGGGTAATTAGCTAACTTATCAAGTCATAAACCCCAAGTGATGTTATCAGGCAACACTGAGGTGAATCTTAGGGACTAAGGTGTAGAACAAAGTCATTAAACTTGGGAGTTGGGAGTTATAAAGGATGAAGATAGAGCAGCTAGATTAAAAGAACCTGAGCATGAGAAACTTGTTGAGAATCCTACTCCGAACTTGGGGAAAGAAGCCCACTTTTTAGGAAAGTTGCAGAAATATCCCCATCACATTTTCCTCTGAGATTAATAAAATAAAATTGTATCAACAATTTTCTAGATTCTTAAAAGTGTTCAAGAATCTCACTATCAACATTATATTTTCAGAAGCTTTTGAACACATGTCCAATTGCATGAAATTTATGAAAGAATAAAAAAAAATTTAAATTTGAAACTGTGACATTAACTGAAAAGTGTCTAGCTATAATTCAATAGAAACACCCACGAAAATTGAAAGAATTGGGCAGTTTTATTATTTCGTGCACTATAGAACAGTTTATGGGAAATGCATTATGTGATTTATGAGCTAGCATAAATTTAATATCATTTTCAATATTTGAGAGATTATGATTAGAAGAGGTTCAACCTACGATCATAACTCTTCAATCAACTCGATCAATGGATCATCTTAATTGAGTGTATGAGGATACTTTAGTTAGAGTTGGTAAATTTATGAGTTTATTATTTTGGATATAGAGAAAGATGTTGAATATATGAGGATACTGTAGTTAGAGTTGGTAAATTTATCTTCGCTGAGTTTATTATTTTGGATATAGAGAAAGATGTTGAAATCTCAATTATTTTAGGAAGATCATTTTCTGATTGAATATTAATTTATATAAATGGGAATGGACTATTAGAGCATAAGATCAAGAATTGATTTTTCAAATATATCATCCAACTCTTTCTCCTATATATCTCCTTGAAAAGTTTTATAGAGTGAAAATAGAAAAATTGTAAGAGATATTGAAAGATAAATTAGAGAGTAAAGAATTAATTATATTTTAAAGGAAATATAAGTTGGAATCACAAATAAATGATGAGGGAAAGTAACTGGAGGATAAAAAATATTGGGAGATTGATACTAAACGATTAGAAAGATAAATTAATTTTGGAGAAAATTTTTAGGCATAATTTGACTGTGCTAAGTTGATGACATAAAATTAAACAATCATTGAAAGGTAATCCAAGCATTATCTTGTGATAGGATTGAATGTTTATTTTATTTTATGAAGTATATGTTATTTTATTGTTTGGTCAAGTTGATGACGTAAAATTAAGCATTTATTAAAAGAACGTAATATATCTTTTCTTACTTTACTCTTTGCATTCTTTGTTGGTTAACTTGTATCTTCAGAGTCATCTATCGTCCACTCATGTCAGGAGCAAAGACCCGATCGAATTATGGAACTAGATTATCAGGGGAAGAATACAGGGTGTGTGTGTGTTTTATATTTGTTTATTTGTGTTATGTTTGTTTTTATTGTTGAGCTTATTTATTTTATTTTGTTTGTATTTATGTTTTTGTTTTAATTTTTTCTTCTAGTAATTAATTTATTTAAGCATTTATAACTAGAAGTAAAAGCAACTTAATTAATTTACGATTATTCACTTATGAATTAATTAATGAGTATTAATAATAAACTTTTTAAATTTTTTGAAATTCATATTGACCTAATAATAATTAATTTACATGAATTAATAAATCTTTTAATTTCAAGAACCTTAGCCACACTTGAACATAATTGACTAAAATTTAATTTAATTAAGTAAATTTAAAATTTTACAAATATCAATTCATATAACTTAAAAAGATCATGATCATTTAAATTATAATAAATGAAATGAAAAATGAGAAAGCATAATTAATTTTAAGTAATGATAGTTAAAATATTCAAAATTATTAAGTGACTTGTCAAAAATAATTACCTTAAAAAAACCAAAAGGACAAAAATTTCATATTACTATAAGAAAAGTTATATAAAAGAGTAAGAAAGGAAGAGTCAATTATAAGTCTTTAATATAAAAATTAGCACCTATTATCTTCTTTAATTCAAACAATTCAAAATCTCCCTGAAATTTTATGTGAAAAACTAAGTTAAGCTTATATGATTGATTAAGTTACATTTTATATCTACTGATTAAATAAATTTTGGTCAATATTGCCCCTTGAGTACTTAGGAGTCTTGGATTGAAAGAATATCAAACTTTTATAAAAAATAATTTTTAGTTAATAGAAATTCATATATTTTAGGATTTTTATTTCAGCTTTAGTTATACACTCACTAAATTATTCATGTGATCCTAATTGTTAAAAATTTTTATTCATTTCCTCTAAAATATGAACCCAGATAAAAAGATTACTCGATGACAAATAAGATGTGATTTTGGGAGAATTTTTTAAGTATAAAAATATGTAAAAAATAGTTGTGTATTTGTGCATAAATATTATGTTACTGTATTTTTTTATGGTGTTTTTGTTCAATGTTATACATGAAATTTACACGGCAACAAGTTGAGAAAAAAATTTCAAAAATACTATAACAAAATTACTGTAGTTGTGCTGAGGCCCAATTATAGCAGTGCCAGGGGATCTGACATAGAAAAAAAAGTTGAGAAACCCGAAAACTCAACACTACGACGCCCGGAATGTAGCACTGCATCGCTTATTGGAGCGTTGCAGTGCCACAAACCAACAATTTTTAATTTTTGATGTGTTTTGATGGTTTCGGCGCCAATTTTTTTTCAAATTGAATAAAAGGAGGTTCTACAAGTTGTATGGAAAGTTCTAGGTGTGTTTGCTAGTGAGGGTGTGTAAAAGATCAATTGGAAGGATTTTTGCAAGTGATTGAGGCGATTTCAAGTGAAGATAATGTTAGATGTTTTCCTTAACACTTTCTTTTGTTATAGAGTTACGATTTTCACATATATATTTATTCTTATTTTGTAAACATGGTTTGAAACTAAGTTCAGACTCCTGTGTGCAGTGTTTGTGCTTCATTTAAATTCAATATGATCAATTGATCTATTAAAACTTATTGTGTTCTTTGAGTTTAAGGAGGAAACCAAGTGAACTTAGTTAACACACTTTTTTGGAGAATACGAATATTGCTTTGAGGATAGTGCAATCAATAGGGAGATATAGAATTATGAGAGGTTTTGCATGATTTAGGGAACTAAATTTTAATATGACATCTCAATACTTTGTATGACTTCAGAAGAGTCTAAGAAGTAGATTTGTTCCGAATTGTCAACCACACCAGTAAGACTTGTATTAGATTTAAATATAATCATAATACTACTTAAGGTAGGTTTTTATCTAATAACTTGATAGAAAATAAAAATATTTTCATTGTTGTGGATATTGAATTTTCAACCCCAATTTGAAATTGATTTAATTTGATAAAACAAGTAGACTCTTAAGTTAATGTTTGGCTTAATTTAAGTAACCTCGTTCCTCGTGGGATCTATAACTCCTACTCAAATTCGAATACTACTTTATCGACGCGTATATTTGTGTGATAATGTGTGCTTCATCGTACATTAGATCATATGACTAGATATCATGTGTGGTTATTATGTTTTTATGACAAGCATATGCCTGATATGGTGCTTTGATGATAAATCACAAATTACATGGCCAAAAATATGATCTTGAAAAATAATCTTCTTCTCTAGCCAGTGTGTCATGGATCCTTTCACAGATGAGATTCTTTTCACTACATGGTTCTCTTTTTTCATGATTTTTTAGTTTACATGGTATGCATTTGGATTCATAGGCTGCCTTATCATGTTTTATGTTTGCTATATGGCAGCAACTGAATGCATGACAGTTCAACCAAATTTTAATTCTTATTAATTCAATTGCCGTTATATATCTGTGATCTTTTTGCAGGTTTATATCATTGATTATGGTCTTGCAAAGAAATATAGAGATCTGCAGACTCATAAGCATATTCCATACAGGTGAAACTTGTATTATTTTTATTTGTTTTGTTGCATTTAGAAGTCACATTTTTATCTGCTAGTACTTTTGGATAATGATCATCTAAATTGCGGTAGTAATGGCCTCATGATCATTACCCTTATCACCAATATTACTTTTTTTTGAAAGAGAATTTATTACTTATTTTTATTTCAACTGTATTGAGTGTTGCATGTCATGCTTATTTTAGTCTTTTTTTATTCCGCAATTTTTGACCTGAGTTTTCATGCCTTGCAATGAATATCATTTGTAAGATGCTTAATTTTAGTGTATGAAATGGATAACTATGAGTTTGGGAGATTAAATAATATTTATGATAATTTTAAGTATCTTATATCTATTGGAGAGAGGAATGAAAAATTTGAAGTTAAAGCTAATCAATTGGAAAATAAAGAAAAGCTGGAGAATTATTGGTAAATTTGATATAATCATGTTTTGAACCTCAATGTTTTATGGATTTTAGTAAATAAGTCTTTGGCTGTCAATTTGAGTTAGGCAGACATGTGAATGTTAGATGAAAGCGTAGCGATCTATGAAGGATATATTAAGAATTATAAAAGAGGTACTATGGAAGTAATATATATTATGAAAAGATAGTTGAAAGAAGGTTTTGATGTTTTATATAGATACACTACATGGTAAAATATGTGGTAACAAGAAATGCAATTAATGTTGAACGATAATGAGAAAAATGGATAAACCAAATATTGTACATTTTTAATGAAATTTCAAACGTTTAATGGTCTAGAGTTCCTAATGCAACTTGGATGAATTAATGAATGTTAATTACACAAAAAGAGGGATTTACATACCAAAGACCAATGGTTACACAAAATTGCTTTCTTTAGATAAAAAACTAAAAAATGCTAGAAACTTGGAACAATATGATAAAACATGAACAATCAATTGGAAAAAAATCACCGAGAAATTTCAAATTTTTCAAAACACAAAGCAATTGTAAATTTTATGCTCCAATTGAACTTGTAGTTGTAGCAAACTTAATCGAAATTGGGCCTTCTATAGAACAACAACTATGTAGTTAAGAAGGAAAAAAGTTAAGAAAGTGATTTCGTAAGTAAAGCAAATTTAGGCCAAAGATTGTTTATCATACTCGTATCACACTCGGAAGAATTTCACATTCAACAAGCACTCTATAAGACTGAAAATTGAAATATAAATTTTTAGTGATCAGCATCTACTTGCAATAATAATCACATAACTCCAAATTAGATGTGACAAATAGCAGTCAATAGTTATCTTTGTTTCATGAATTAGAACATGAAATCATAGCAGCTCATCCTTTTATCATTTATACAATTACAAAATTAAAATAAAAATGGTTTAAATTTGCTCGTCAAAGTATGCACGTTTTGCATTTTCAGCAACTGTGAGCCCTATTATCTCCATTTAATTTGTCCAGATTGGCAAAATTTGGCTCTGTTGAACTTATGATTTGATATTTGCCTGATATATTAGGGAATAAATTTTGTGCGTCATGCCAAATAATTCATTAGTCATATAAATAGATTTTAAATGCCATTGTATAAAATATCTTTCAAATTCACCATCAATAGTGAACTTAATGTTATCATATAGAATAAGCATACAAGCAAGTTATATAGATTTGGCTGGATACATGTTCGATGCGAATTCATAGGAAGGAGATCCAAAGATAGAAAATTTCAAAAAATTGACATCGAGTTCATAAAATAAGGTCAAATCAAATATGTTGAAGATTAGATTCATTTCATATATTCTAATTTATGAGTGTTAATATTAATGCAAAATTTTAAATGGTAATTTCTTTTTGAATTCAATTGTCTGATTACTTCAATTCCAATTCACTTAAGCAAAAAATTTAGATTTATCATAATCAATAGTTCATATTCTACAGATATCTTCATATTCCATCCAATAAAACAAATTGTGGAAGAGACAAATTACTAAATTGTTTCAAGTGATATTAATCAAGACCCACAACTAATTTCTAGAATTTCAGATGTTAGTTAAAATTAAAGTGGACAAATCACACATTAATGATATGTTTATATATGTGAACATCTTTAAAGAAAATCCACATGATTTATGCACAAGAAATTGTGCATCTTTATTGACCGGATAAGCATTTCTAGGTTCGTTTAAGGTATTAATTAATTATAAATTTCTTGAAATATTGATGCAACTAAACTCTGTCCTGATGCCGGAGGAGCAAGCCCAAACGACAAATAAAATGCGAATAATAATATTTTTGCTGAAATTCAAAACGGGGACAAGACTTGTCAAAAAATAGGAAATAAACGTCAACACAAACAAGCACTGCCGGTTGGGAGGCGGGTGGCGACTGATGCCGGGGCAGCAGGTGGGAGTAGAGGGTTGTTGTCACTATATCAGGGGAATAGGACAATGGCTTCAGGTAGCAGAATAGGGTTGTGGAGGAGGCTGGCTTTGGGTAGGAGGGCAGGCAATGTACTGGCAGTGGAAGAGATTGGTCATGCGATGTTGTGGGCAGGTGGGGGTGGGAGTAGTGGTAGGTTGGAGGTCACGGTAAGGCAGATTGAAGGTCTTGCAATTCGTGGCGGGAAGCAGATACGAGATCTGGGTTTCACGGGGATGGGACTGCGGCACTGTTTTACTGGAGAGGAAGGCAAGGCTGCAGATGGAAGGAGTAACGCGATCTGGGAAGGAGTTACGGGAATAGGGAGAGCAAGGTTGCGGCTGTTTCACAAGAGGAAGGAGATCTGAGACGGGTTGCTGTAGTGCGGGGGATTGCGTGGAGAAGGTTGCAGCGATCAGCGACATAGGCAGCAAAATTGCAGGAAAACCTGTAGGCGGCTAGGAGGGGGGAGGGAGGTGGACGTCGGGATGATAAATGACCACCGGGGAGAGGATACAGCCGGAGCACCACCCAACCGTTGGATACAACCCTCGAGCGAAATTAGGATGCAGGCGGCTGTACTTACAAATCTGAAATAAAAAATAACATCAAACTGTTTTCCTAAGACCTAAAAACACATGTAAATAGAAGTGAGATGGGTGGGAAATGAAAATAAGAAGGCGGGAAATTTTCTCGCCTAATGATAAGAGGGGAGGAGGGGCCAGTTCAGCCCCTTCTCTCAACTGAATCAGTTCAGCTTTTGGAGGAAACCCTCCGTGTCATCTCCATAAGGTTTTTTTTTTATGAACCTATGCTACTAAATCAAAAATCAAAGAAAACCAAATCGTTGTTTGATTATTCGGCAGAGCCGCATAGGGATAATTTTCATTGTCACTCATCATAGTTTATGCTATCAAATTGCTTGATCATTCTTCTATTTCATTAGTCAACTGTTTCTATTTTACATTTATGAATACTCAATTCCTGTTAATATTTTAGATATAGATATAATTTTATACTCAATTTCCATTTTATATTTTGACTTGTTAAGCTCAATGTGAATTATTTAACCGGCCATACTAGTTATCACAATTATTTCACTAACACCTTATGTTTTATGATTGCCCAAACTAAATCTGATGTTATTCCTACGCTAAGTATTATTGTATTAAGTGAGAATAATGTAGATTTTAAGCATAATATTTATGAAACTCTACAAAATTACTAGACAATTTATGGTGCTCATCAAATTTATCATGCAAGCTTAAACAATTATATATGTAAATAAATAAGAATGAACAAGTAAGCTAAGTCATAGAGCCATTGGGGCACAAATCTTTTATGTGATTTAACCTCTATTACATGCTAGTCTTCCATTCATCTAGGATTCTCACTATTCTGGTCTTACTGCCACAAGATTTTCTTTCTTTCTTGTCGTGGAGAAATCTTTTGCACATTCTTTTTTAATGGCGAAAGTTAGCTACTTTTAAGCTACCGCAAAATCTATACTGAAACTTCACAACCCCATCTCAAGGGTACAAACAAATTCTTAAGACCGTTTTTTCTTGAACATTGAAGGTGATAAAAAAAAATGCTTACAAATCTCTTTTTCACAATCCCAAGCCTTACATTGTAATTATACAATAAAAATATCTTAAAAAATATAAATTGAAAGATAAACAGAAATAAAAACTAAGGCATAAAAAAAAGTTTAGCAGCCACAAAAACACCTTGCCTAGATGAACACTTCACTTTGGTGATTTTTTCTCCAAGATATATAAAAGTTTTGAAGCCCTTTGTAAAATAGCATGAATTTATTCAAATTTTTGGGCAATTTCTCAAAAATGCTTCCATATGCATTTTGGATGAAGATAAGCAGGAAAAGTGAAGCATGGAAATGTATGAAAGTGCACATAGATGGCTTCATTTATCATCATAATGTATTTTGTTTGGATTTTTTGATCAGTTATTAATTCGCGGGGAATGATTACTGAAGAAATAAAGCAAGTGCGATTAGACTTTTCTTTTTAAAGTAAAGAGTGTAAGTATACAACTTGGTGGGAAATTATCTTTTTTTTGCATATGAAAAATATTAAAATAAAACAAAGTTTTTAATTTAAGTAGATATTTTGCATACAGGCATACAATGAAAGGGTTAACTTTAGAACTGCATATAGGAAAAGTCAAATCTAAATAACTATTATTTATAATAAGAATTTGCTTGTTGCATCTCTATATTTCTTTTCACTGAGGTTCCCATGAGCAATGTTAATTATTTTTACCATCAATCAAGAAATTGTGTTGATTTCTGCTGTTCATATCATAAATTTGTATTTTTATTATACTAAAAAAATTGTATAATTGGCAGTTTGTTTTTCTCATTACACTACATCCTCAAAATACACAAATTAAATTTGACTAAGCATCTTTGTTTATAAACATTGTAATCAAATTTCAATTTGGTACAAAGAACTGTCAAGATTTATTAATTGGTTGAAGCACAACTTTTCAATTGAAAAATGCTTTGTGCAGTTGTTCATTTGATTAGAGAAGATAATTGATATATAATGGAGTAGACATAATTTTTTTATTTTTTAAATTCTAGAAACCCATTTTACTTTTGACTTTTTACACTGAAATATTTATTATTGTCCAATGTTAAGTCAAGTGTTTTGCTGAATTCTGGAGTAGGAATATTGCTTGCTTCCTGAAATCTTTATCGTTCTTTTTTAACAGAGAGAACAAAAATCTGACTGGAACAGCTCGGTATGCAAGTGTTAACACTCATCTTGGAGTTGGTGAGTTTCCATAGTAGATGATTGTAAAGATTATTTTTTTCATGCTAGTAAAATGCCAAAAATATTTACATGGGGTCATTTTAGTCTCAAGGGTCTATAAAAGCGCCAAATTTGTCCTCAGACTTCTTAAATATGGGCTAAAATAAATCCCCATGGAGACCTTTTTCAGCCTCAATTAAAAAAGTGTTGGGACTAAATTGACACTTTTATAGATTATAGGACTAAGTAACCCTCATGAAAAGATTCAGGGGACTATTTTGACCCTTCTTTTGTCTTTATACTTTCAAACATTTATTTTACTCCTTAACTGTCATGATTTATATACAGAGCAAAGCAGGAGGGATGATTTGGAATCTCTTGGTTATGTTCTCATGTACTTTTTAAGGGGAAGGTTGGACTTGGATGGATGAAAGCAACTAACTTTATTATCTTTTTTAGTGATATTTCCTTGAATATTATAATTTATTTGTCTTGAATTTCAAGTGCTAAATATCAATTTTGTCAGTCTTCCTTGGCAGGGATTGAAAGCTGGTACCAAAAAGCAGAAATATGATAAAATTAGTGAAAAGAAAATGCTTACCCCGGTGGAGGTAATCGGTGCATGCCCCTTTCCAAAAAAAAAAAAAAAAAAACCTTAATTTTTTGTAAGGTTTGGTTTGTTTAAAAAGCATCAGGTAATTGACACCCTCACTCTTTAAAATCAGGTATTGTGTAAGTCTCATCCACCTGAATTTCTCTCTTATTTCCACTATTGCCGTTCGTTGAGATTCGAAGATAAACCAGATTACTCCTATTTGAAGAGACTTTTTCGTGACCTTTTTATTAGAGAAGGTAGCATCTTTCTGTTACATGCAGATGCATGTGCCATAGAGAGAGAATCATTTTATTTATTACAGCTAATGTTCATTTTTTAAAAGATTTAAGTTGTCATATCCTACTGCAGGTTATCAGTTTGATTATGTTTTTGATTGGACTATGTTGAAATATCCTCAAATCGGTGCTAATGTCAGGGCAAAAGTATGGTTTTTATATATGTTTGCGCTTCATTGTGTTTTGATGCTTTTTCAGATTGTCTGGCTATTGTTTTATTTTTGGGCATAAGCTACAGGCCACCCAATTTTTATATACTTACATATCTAACACCTAAACTTTACTTTTTAAATTTAAACTACCCAAATCTTTCATATCACATCAAAAATACCACTATTTTAACTTTTAAAATGTGATGAAACTTTTAAAATGTGAAATGCACCTTTTCATGCATAGGCAAGGAGTACGTATGTAAACATTAGGGTTTAGGTGTAAGATATGTAAATACACAGGAATTGATTGTTATGTATGTAAATCTTCTTTTATTTTTTTTCGCAGCCTGTGGGGAGAGCAGGTGGAGCTATTGGACCTTCTGTGGAAAGAACCGAGAGGACTTCAGGTTTTCTTCTCTCTCTCTCTCTCTTTGACACACACACACACACCACTCACCGTCCGATTCATTTTGTGCTTCTGGTTTTAGCATATTTACATGTTCCGTGATCCAGTGGGACAGGAGATTCGAGAGAAATTCTCTGGCGCGGTAGAAGCTTTAACTCGGAGGGGTGGTGGTGGTGGTGGTCATCATGGGGACCATTCTAAGCACAAAGGTTTAGAGGATACGTCATCTAAGGATGTAAGTTATTTTAATTCATTTTGTATTTTCTTAGATTAAACCTTAAAGTAGTCACTTATTCGTCCATTGCCAGTTTAGTCCTATAATATTACATTTTTTTCATTTTAATTTTTTTACTATATAAAGTTGATCCAAAATGGTCTCTCATTTGAAAATTGTATGCAAAATCTATCTCATTCTATTCCATCAACTGTGCAATTTTAATCCCAATTCAGTCTCTAAGGGCCCATTTTAGATCAAATTGGTATGGTCAAATTGGACAAATATGATTCTCTGAGACTGAATTGGCCATATGTTATGTGAATAAATGTGGGACCATTTTGGAATTTATTCGTGAGATCCTCTGGCATAATTTTTGTTTTTTGTAAATTTTTTTTTTTTTGTATTTCTAGCTCCTGATTCACAAAATGTCTCACATGTAAATCTGATTTACATGTGAGACTGTCAAACGACCATGTGTGCTCATAGATTTGATTCTGTAGGTTATGGATTATTAGAAATGCTTTCTTGAAATAGGAGATTTATCAACTGAGAAGTCATCCAACTGATTTTCACTTAAAATGTTTTGGAATATTTACATACAAACCACGCAATTCCTATGTATTTACATTTTTAACACCTGGACTTCAATTTTTACATGCATACCAACTTACCTATACATGAAAAGGAGTATTTTACTTTTTTAAAGTTAAAATGGTGGTATTTTTTATGTGATATGATAGGTTGAGTGTTATAAATGTAAAAAATAAAGTTTAGGTGTTAGATACTTAAATACATAAGAATGAGTGGTATGTATGTACATGGCCGTAATTTTTTTTAAAAAATCTAGTTAAATCAAGCTACCATATCTTGCTTTAAAACAAAGTTAAAAATTTATGAAAAGAATACCATAATATATATATATATATATATATATATCTGTGTGTGTGTTCCCACTATGGCGCGGGGGCTTTAGAATTTTGGGTACATGACGCGGGCTCTAAACATGGGGCCAAAAAACGCATGAGAAATCGATATTTGAGTTTCTGCCAAATATTGATTTCCTTTTAAAAAATGAAAAATACATATTTATACATACATATTTATATAACTAGTTACCTGAAGGAGAGCTTCAAAATCTACTTCATTGCTTGTGTTTGGATTGGATTCATCCAAGATTGAAGTGATCTCTTCTTCTGTAAGTACTTCATTTGCTCCCTTTAGCTTAACCATGAAGGATGACAATTTGCTATGATCACCTTGTGATTTCCCCTTCAAATTTATAAACTAAACGCTCGATGCAAGAAAATAAACATTGCAGAAGATGAATAAATCATTTCATAAGTAAGGAAGATTGTAGCCTTAAGATTACGTGAAATGGTTTTGGAGCACGGGATCGAAGAGATGATCTTGACATAACTCGTTCGACATAAGTCGACATTCTTTCTACCTATGTCCTCTTGATTGGGCAATTGCATGAATGAAGGTAAATGCATAAATGTGCAATGCATAATTACACCCTAATGTTCAGCAACATGATTTTCAAGTATTTTTTCATGGAACGTGATTATTTAAAAATTAGTTCGAGTATTTGAAAAAAAAAAAAGTTGATTTTTTTCTTAAAACTATTATAAAAATATGTGAAAATAATACTAAAAATGTATTTTAAAATTAAAAATAAAAGTGATCCCAATTGGTCCCTTAGCGTGTCTCAACATGAATATGCAATCATATAAAATTCAAAATTCCGTTCCCTCTTCTAAGTTCTGCCCACATAAACCCGCAAAGTTAGTGGAGAACTACATTATACACATGAACATTAGAATTTGAAGACTATATTAATGATATTCTTCTCATCCATTTTAACTTGCTTTCTAGTTTCCATGCAATATAATTCTCCCCCCTCCTAATAACCTTTTTCTGTAGGTGGTGGATTCAGAGAAAGCTCGAGCCTCCTCTTCTCGACATGGCAGCACCTCTAAGAGGGCCGTCATCTCAAGCACTCGGCAAAGCTCTGCAGAGCCGAGCGAGCAGCAATTGAGCCGTGCTAGTAGATTGGTCTCGAGCAGCAGCAGCAGCCGCCCAGCCATTGCCGTGCCGAGGAACGCTCAGCCAACCGCAGCACCTTCCTCGCTCTCTCGAGCAGCGATTGCAAGAGGTTCCCGTGCCGAAAACCCTATTCGAAACTTTGAGCTCCTCTCTGTTAGCGCCGGTAAGAGGAAATAACTGATTCAAGGTTCTTATGATTTTGCCTCCCTTATTCGTGTTTTCGGTGTGCCTTCGACCAACCAAAGGTATTGATCCTTGATAGTGAAGATTTATAAGCAATTTGATATTTTTGCCTTGGCGAAGAAGAAGAGGGAAAGAAGGGACTAATCCTGTTGTATTGCAGCTCTGTGGTGATCCCATTGTTCAAGAGCCTGAGACAAGCAAAGGGCTTCTGGGATAAACAGTTTTATGAAAGAAATGTTTATTACAAATAAAACCTTTTAAATTTGCCTTTTATATTCTGATTTGTTTTTATTAGTGCTGCTGCTATTTGTGTGGAGACTAATGGCAGTCAGGACTAGGGAGCTAAGCTACATGGGAATTCATATCATTCTTTATGAAGTAATAATATTACTTGAATTTCATAAACCATGGCTTTTAGGTGACAAAAAAGCAAATAAAATCCATATATGAACTATCATACAACTTTGCAGTGATCGAATTCAGGCTTGATGACCACAACCTGAAGCTAAACCTTACCAAACCTTTGTTATGTTAAGACTTACCCATGGATTCTTGAAGTTAGTAAATATAAATGTTGGCATCATTTTTTGGTTTATTATTGACTATTGGTTCTTCTATATATTGTCCTTTTTTTATAAGGTTTGTCCAGTAGTTGTCTCTTCCTCTTATATATTTGGTTTTTCTATTGCGGTACATACGCCCAATATAGTTGATTTACTCACTCTTTAACACATACATTAGAATTATGAATCATTTTCACATTCTTCTGTTGACTGATCGACTTAGATCTCTCCCCCATATATTTGATCCGAGTCATTCTAACGTATTCGTGGTGCATGTTCATGACTAACTGTGTCATTTACCTGATCAATTATACACTCTCAATCAGGTTAGACTCACTAGCCTTCTCTGATCAGACAATTGGTTTGATCCGGCCCGCTCTTGAAACAGCATCACACATTCTTGGATCTTGTACAGTCATATCAGCTCACATACTAACACTAGAGATATTTAGATTAGTATAGTTAAATTATGAGTTGACACTCAATTAGTCTTGGATCTAAACCATCCATACCACCTTATGACAAAACTTATAACTTATAGATTAGCCAAATGCACTTCATATTGGTTCAAGTTTTCTTAGATTTGGCCCAACCTAATTCCCATCAAAATGGGTTACATTAGGCCAATCCAAAATTGCTGACCAACCCACTTATTAACCAAATCATCCCTCTTAACTTTTTGTTCATTAGGGATTACAAGACTCATTAACATGTCTCTAGACCCCAGATGACTTAACTTGGATCCATTTAGGGGGTTTTTGGCTGCCTTTATGATTATTAAGATCAGTAATCTCAGTAATAGAGATGTGTTCAACTCATAATGAGTATAAGCATTTAGAAAGGATTAATAACAATGTTAACATCAATAACATCATAACATCCACTCTTGTGATTTGTTATACCTGTTTACAAATTAAAATCCATCAATTACTTCTTCTTCATATTTTGCATAAAATCATCTTAATTAACCAAAATTTTAATGGAGATTTCTTCATTAAAAGATTTAAAATAGAAAAAAAATTTATGTCAACATATCCTCATAAACTTATATCAAGATGATTATAAGAATTAATGAACTTGCCTTAAAATTAATGTTATGTATGATGAGTATTTATTTTTCATAACACTAATTTTGAAGCAAATATCATAATCATTTAATGTAATGTTGATATAATTTTTATTAGGATATTTTGCAAATTATTTGTTCATTAAAACATTCTTTGACATTTTGTTATTGGTGTCTAGCTTCATATGTATATGCAATATGCTTTTTTACAACACGCTTGCATGCCAATTTAATTAATGAACATTCCAATTGATGTTACATTTGATCTTGTATGGATTTATATAGTTTACAATTCAATTCCAAAATGATTTTATCTCTTTAAATGATTTAATTATTCATGAAGTTATATAAGTGTAGCATTAACAATACCTAAATAAAAACTTGTACTTTTATTTTTATTCATTAATACTACCAATAAATTATAATTTATGGGAAAGTGCTCACTCAATGAAAAACTCATCACATCACTTTCTCAGCACTAGGATGAGTTTATTAATCTAGTATGCAATGGTATAATGTATAAAGATATAAATAACATACTAGATTGGGGCAATTTCTTTAGAGCAATGGCCTTGTAATATGGTATATTCTTTTTTAGCCCACTTAATGTATGCTCCCATAACATCATATCCCTTGGATATAAAAAATGTTTTGTCATCTTCAACAATGCAACTTACATCTATGAAAATAACACCATAATTTTATGGTCAAGGTCACATTTTATAAAAATGCTTAGTCTAGTCGTTTATGGTCAAGGAGGTCACATTTTATAAAAATGCTTAGTCTAGTCGTTTGTGTTTTGTCTATCTCAGTGCACTAGAAGAAGTTAACATATTTTTATTTTTAAAGTTATTATTCTAATCTGAGTTATTGAAAATCCTTCTAATTCTTCTCTTCCTTGTATTTTTAAAGTTATTATTCTAATCTAAGGAGTTATTGAAAATCCTTCTAATTCTTCTCTTCCTTTATAACTCCTAACATTTGAGAATTCTTTATGAATGTAAATGAATTGAGTTGAGCTCGAGCCAAGGAAGTAAATGAATTGAGTTGAGCTCAAGCCTTGAGTGCATGGCTTGAGCTTGAGTTTGATAAATTAAATGGGAATAAGCTTGAGCTGAAGCTTAATTCTACGAGCTTGAGCCGACTACCTAGGTAAATCATTATTTATTAAAGATGAAAAATGATTTTGATTTAAATAATTATTAAAATAAAATGATAAACATAGTTATAGGAGAAATAATTAAAAACCATTTAATATAAAAATATAATTTTAAAATAGTTTAAATAATTTATACTTAAATGGTAAATATTAATATATTGTAAATGCATTTTATATTAATAATTTTCTAAAGTAGCTTGCTCATGACCTAACATGCCATTTTGAAGCTAAACTAAGTTTGTTTTATTAACTCATCGAGCAGTATGTGCAAACCAATTATTGGGTTGAGCCCGAGTTGGCTTATGTGTTGTCGACTTAGCTTAGTCGCACCCCTAAAATTCCTTAAAGGTGCAACCAATTGATCAAAGTAAGCTTAGTAGCTTTAAATATTATGTATTTTTTTTAGTATTGAATATAATACAGTGCCCCACATTCTTAGCTTCATTAATCATCTATAATTACAATTAAGAACTTATAACACCAAAAGATTGTACTTCATAACCTTTGAAGGACTGATCAAAAAAGGATTTTTGAGTATCAACAATGAGATTCTTATCTTCAAACTTTCTAACAAAATTTTTCAACACACCACCAACTCTGTGTAATCAAACACTATAATGCGTATCACCACCACACAGCTTCATGTATAACAAATAATTCAAATAAATTAATTTTAAAGGGATAATATTTCTAAAACATGCCAAATCATATTAACACCATATTTGAATTATGATTCACTATTTTTGAAGCATAATTGAATTATGATAAAAAAAAAATTATATAATCTTCAAAGTATCTTTAAGCCATAATCAAATAAGGGTCGATCTTTTTTTGAATAATGATTGAAAAAATTCAAATAATTTAAACAAAATATAAACTTATTTGAAGCATCTTCAAATATTGATCAAAATATTGAGTAATAAATCATTTTTAAGCAATGATCAAACAATCATAAAAGGATCAAATAGGAATCAAATAATTTTGAAGCATCTTTGAATAACGACTAATCAATCATCAAATAATACTCATATCATTTTGAATAATCTTTAGAGTACTATCAAACCATCTTCAAATAATGATCGCACAACTTTTGAAAAAATCTACAAATAATGATGAAGCGATGAGTAATGTAGCTTTATACAATGATCAATTAATCATTGACTATTATCAATCAGTATTTGATTTATATTTGATCATTGTTTGAACATTATTCAAATACTAAGTGCACCATCTTTAATTCACCTTCGACTAATCGATACATGATCTTAATAATTAATTTGAAGACAATTCAATCATTTTTTATCATCATTCAATCAAAAGTTTAATAGTAATTTTATATCTAACAATGTTCTAAGTTTATGGTATATTTATCTTTTGAATTCTGGTTTGTCTGTTAATGACTAAGACAGGAGAGAGATCAAGCGAGAGAAGTGCAAAGAATGAACAATAATTTTAATTATTGATTAGCCCCATCGCATGAAATAATCACCCTATTTATAGAGTAAAGGGAGGGGAGTTGAATGGGGGAATTATATGTTATTTTAAAAATTTACATGTATGGGTCTTTGACTCGATAACTCTATAACTTAGTGGTTGAAATTGATGGGTCTTGGTTCGACACAATCCGCTCATCCAACTGTGTTGAATTAAGGTTGTTGATCGACCTTTGATGGTCTTCGGGTTGGCAAGGCTCGACTTGATCAACTTGGCTTTGTCGGCTGGGTATTATAGTCTGGTTGCCGACTATTGAAATATGAATGATGAACTCCTATCTGCAAAGCAAGTCTAGGTTATCAAGCAGTGAGTGAATCACCATAATCTAATATGTACCTCACTTCTTGATAAGATGATCTTTTCGGGATGCTCCGTGTGATTATGTTGTGGTCAGTTCTTGACCCTTGATGAGGAATCTCAAGGATGTCTGTGAGATGACTAACAATGTTGAGCTCTTTTCTTGATTCAAGTTGTGGCGAGAGGGAGGTCGATGCCTTCGGTCTGCTCAATTGGCCTTGGTCCTTAGTTCAGATGACATGCATTTGGTCGACATCTAACACCGTTTCATGAGGGTTATACCTAGTCAAGTAAGTCCTTTGATATTCCGCTAGTGGAATCTTGGAATTCCACTATGGGCCCTTTGATCTTCTGCTTATGAGCCCTCTTTACCCGCATTCCTTTTTTCCTTTTATCCATCTGATCTCCTCAAATTTTGTGTTAAAGAATTTCTGATGTACACTCGATGCTCTAAGTTTAGAGTTTAGGTTGCGAATCCATATTTGATCATAAATTAACTAAAAATATTATCATCAATCTTCATAGATGATAAATGGAGTGAAACTATCATTTTAGAGTATTGCCGCAACCCACAGATGTATGGTGAAGATAGAGTGTGTACTTAGAAGAGAAAGGGTCGAGAAACACTTATGATTAAAATATTACTTACCTATTCCATGAGGGTTTAGATTATTTTCTAAAGAGTGGGAGCATTTAAAAATTGTAATTTTTTCCGTATAACCAAACATTAAAACATATTTCTCCAATACATTAAACAATGTTCATATTTCTTCAATCCCCCCAATTTTAGGGCGCATAAAGCTATAATTTTCTTATATACATATACACAAATTTTTTTAAATTGTGAGCAATAAATTAAAATACGTGCGACTCAACTCATAACCTGACTAATCTATCTCACACAAACATACTTTATGATTCATAGTTCTTCAATTTAGGGCAAGAAAAATGCTATAACCCTTTGTATTCTACCTAATCTTTATATGCCCAAAACCAAAAAAAAACTAGATTAAGATTAATAACCACTTCTTTAAGAATATAATTAACATATAATTATAATAATAAAACCCAGATTAAGATAAAATTCCTTAACCCCTCGAAATATGGATCAGGAAAGCGCAGTATTAAAAATGGGACCACCGGACCCTTTTCGGCTTCGTTTCTAAAATTGGGACTTTCTTCCTCATTCGTGCTGTTCCACCGAGTTATTTGAAGCGCCCATCTCCTCTTCCTTCCCCCGTCAATTGTTCCTGATCCCCCGCTCGATCTGAATTTCCGTTGTTATAGCTTCCTCTCTCTCTCTCTCTCTCTCTCTCAGCGGCACGGTTCCATGTCCCGATAGCGAGGATTCCGCTTTCTATCGCGTTGTATGATGCCGGTGTGCCTCGAAAGATTCTGGCCTCGCGTGGAAGGGTAGAACCGATTGACATTTGGTAGACCAGAGCGCGTTAGTTGAGTTTTGCGTGGAGTCTAGTGAGGAATGGTGGCGAGACCTGTAGGTTTGAGGATTTAGGGTTTGTGCTGCGCAAGCGTTGAGTGGAGAATCTGAATTTTGGCGTCTGTCTGCTGGTTTGCGCTGACAGTTGTTACATGAGAGATATAGGTGAAATCTGAGTTGGGATGGAGGTGAAGTTATCAAAGGACGGTGCTTCTTTGGACCCTGATTTACTACAGCTGGCGGAGATTTCTCCCTTGGCTTTGAAGGAAAACCCTCATGTTGCGGAGCAGCTGTATGCCCAGTGGCTTTCTATCCCGGAGACTGTTCGTCTGGTATTGGTTCTTTGGCATTTGTTTTCTCGCAGTTGTTGGTAATTTTCATAATGTTTTAAATTGAATGCTGTTCTGGATCAAAAGTATGTGTAAGTAGTGCTGCTAATTAATTTTTTTTGGTTAGCGTAGTGCCGTGTTTGTGGAGAGTAGCAGTGTAATTGACATCTAAAGCCAAAAGAAAAAAAAAAAAGGAATTTAGAGATCAGAAATAAAACACATGAATTCATTTTTTCAATGATATTGCTAGAATATTTAAACTAAATCTTTTGCAAGCGGAGGAGATGCATACATGTTGAAAAATGCTATGCTTTTAAAAAAAATTATTTGAAAGATGAGCCCATATAACTTTAGTTCTAGTCATGTTGGTGCCAATTATTTTTCTTGTTGGAGCTACTTGAAATGAAAACATGAAAAATGCTTAGAATTACGTTTTTTAACATTAGGGTGTTTTTTGTTTTTTGTTTTGCTAACTTACATGCAAAGATTGTAATGCAATGTCGGCATAGTTTTGCATATATTGCCATTAAAATTAACCACATATTTAATAATCTGCTAAATTTGGCTGAAATAGTTAAAATGTTTGTGTGGTCGACATATATTCATAACCTGCATTTTCATTCCAGCCATACTTGTTACTGATGAAGGGAAGCAAGGTTCAAAACCCCTCAAAGATACTGGTGATAGATGAGACTCAGGCTCTAATATCTCCAAAATAGTAGAATGGGTTTGGTTGCAAGCATTTATGCTACTGGAGTATTTTAAATGCAATGTGAATTAAGTATATTGCTTTTTTTTTATTTTGTAAGATAATTTGGTTGGTCTTTTGTTGATTGTTAGCGGAAATTATTTATAGGGCATAGAATTATAGACAAATAGGACAATGAAGAGTCATGGGATCACAGTGAGGCTTACGGGTTGCTTGGGGGCTGTGAATCGCCTAAGGGGCATGGGTAGCCAGGGATTCAAATATCAGAGAGAGTTTACTGGTCGATATAGGGTTTAGTTGGCGACGGGGTTTTCAAATTGTATATTAACTTGCAATTACATGAATTTTTATATTAGTTCTATCCAGTTGGCTTTATACCATTGTTAAAATAACCATTTAATTTTTTTTCCGTATATCTAGTTTATGGAATTTCACATTGAGATTTCCATTGGGGTTGGTATGGGACATGCTGTGAGCAGAAATTTTATTCTAAAGCTATAAATACTTTTTATTTTGGGTTTTTTTGGGTGAAAATTGTTTCTTGTATGTGATTGGATTGGATGATGATGATTTTAAACTATATATATGTATGTATATATATATATATATATGTATATATAAATTATTTTATATCCTTCTATTTCATTATTCTAACATTGAAAACATTTTTTTTCATCACTTTGCTTGATTTTTATAATGTTGATTTTAAAAGATATTAATATTCATTTTCTTATTTATCGTCCACATCTGTGAAGATATGTTGATTTAAAAGATATTTCATAGATATATTTTTTTATATTTAATATATTATTAATTTAAACTATATCATTTTTCATTGTTCTCTATTAAAAACAACACAAAATAAAGCATGCAAGAGTAAAATTTATCTTTATAAATTGAAAAATTGGCTATTTTAAAATGAGATATATTATATTTTTTGAAAAAATTTCTCCAATTTATCTATTAAAATTTAAACTGTTCTACGATTACACCTTTTTCAATTAATCAAGTTAAAATTTAACTTTTAGAATTAAAATAAATACAAATTTATAACTATTATCTCATTAAATATTAAAAAATAAATATAAATTATCACGTATAGAATTGAGGTGATTTTGACTCTTCGATGAATAGAGGCTTTAGTGCATGCATCGTAGGGTTCGACTAATGCTTCAACGCAACGTATAACATCAACTTCCACAAACATATTCAACTCTTGCTAGGTTGCGACAAAGAAGCTTGCGGCTTCTTCTTTAGTGAGTGCAATTTTAACTTCGTGAATAAAAAGGAACTCCAACGCTCGACTTCGACGAATGCAGGATGAACCTTTGACTTTTGGGTTTCATGAACAATGAGGGGACTGCCAATGCTTGGTTTTGATGAATGTGGGATGCACTTTGGATGCTTGACTTCTTCGACCCTGCTCTGACAAATGTTGGAGAGAGTTTTGGCACGATGAGAGTGGAGACATGTTCGACTATGAGGTATAGTTAGGGCTACAAGTATATTTCTAATTTTCTACTTTTCGTGCCCCATTTTTCTTCAAAATCGTGGGAGCTTGTGTCTAATGGCATGCCGAGGCATGTCCTGAATGTGTTCGGGTTTGAAAAAAAATTAAACATCTTTTGCAATGTTGGACAATTGTCGGAGTCATGTCTGTGTCCGACATAGGTAGAACACTTTTTTAGAAGTGTCGGTGCTACATAGATCCATAGTCTCTTTGACTTTTAAGGTGAAGATAAAACTAATGCCACACATATCTAGTGAAAATTTTAGGACTTGTTGCTATGAAAGTTGTAGTTGAAGCCTTAACTTTCACATTTTGCTATCATTCTAGTGGTTTACCTTAGATGTGTGTAGAGTGTCATCCATCTTCTTAAGAGTTTGCAAGGTTCTTCTGCAGAAGATGCATGTTACCTCAAGGTCTAAGAAGGTGGAATTAGGAAACGAGGCTCTTTTCTTAGCGAGGCTAGGCATAAACCTCTAGGAGGATTGAGAGGTTAGCCTTGAACATGAAAAAACTCATAAAATAAAGAATAATTAGGAAATTATCGTATCATAATAAAGAAACTGTCATATTCTCATTCAGGATATCAAATATGCAGACTTTTAAGCCAAACAATAAAATTATTATATTATTAAATTCTGTTACAATAATAGCAAATAAAGGAACCCTAAAAGAAACTATAATAGCCATATTCAATAAGAAGTAAATAATACTAGCTATAAAAAACTATGAACAACCTTATAGCAACTATAAGCATTAAGAGTTATAAGAAGAAAATAAAAAATAAGATTACTTGAATAAAGAGACTCAGATTTCCCATCCTCCTATTCTTGATTGTTTCTTGCCTCACGCTCTGCTCAAACACCTCTTGCTTTCCGCCTCTACAGATACTCCCTATCTTTCTCCCTCAACTCTCTTGCACTTGCATAAGGAAGATGACTTGCTCTATCATTCTTGGCCATAGATCACATAAGCCCAATGTCAAGCTATTGGATATGAATGAATTGTTATACTTGACACACACACACACATGTTGTCTCATTAGTTGTGGTATACTTTTTCATGACATATTTCATTGGAAGCCTAAAGCTAAGCATAACTCACTCTTAGGGAGGGTTATAAAATAAAGTGATCTATGTTCATAAACAATTCATGTTTTGCACAACAGGCTTGATTTTATCTTATTCTTTAAATAAATGGCAAAAGCTTGAACTTGATTTCACGGCTCTTTTACTGAATGAGCCAAAGTTAAACAAAAGCTACTTGATTATGTTTTTATCAAGAAGACCTTGATTTATTGATATGCATAAATATATTTATGTGTATAAGTTATATTTTACTATCAAAAGCAATCAAATGCATGCTTAAAAAATCGTGGACATCACATGTTTTACGGTTCCTAAAAAGACCATGCTATGAAATTCACAAACCTTTCTTATTCAATCAGAAACATCAAGTTAAAACTTGGCCTTGGATCAATAGTCAATCCCTCGACTTGTCGTTTGTGTTTAGCTTATTTTTAGCTCGATAATAAATTAGCCAAGGTTGAACTGCTTTAAATTTTTGAACTTGATCTAGGTTTGTTTTGGACTTATGATTAATAAATTGAGCCAAATAAGACCCTACTTTATTCATGTTGGTTCTTTACACCTTTTCTCTCCATTTATCCCTATCATGAGTTGAATTTTGCATGCATTATTCTTTTCCTTTATTTTTTGCTTTCACGTGATCTGAGACCTTAACGCGCAGTTTTTTTTTTAATTTATTTTGAAATGTTAGTCTTCACATCTATAGGTTAGATCTTTAATTGAAGATGCGAAGGATGGACTGCCATTGAATTCTCCTAGCTGTACCGGTGGTGCAAATTCTGCTACTAGCAATGCATTGCCTTCTTTGTTCCCTGCTGGCAGTGCACCTCCTCTTTCACCAAGAAGCAGCTCGGGATCTCCTCGTTTCATGAAACGTGGTTCAGGTGCAGGGCCATCATCTCTAGGATCTCCATTAAAAGTAGTTAGAGAGCCAGCTAAGGAAGTCATCCCTCAGGTATCAACTGTCTTCTCACTTTTTTTCTAAGGCTCTGTTTTTATACTGGGAAATTGAATGAAAAGAAATGAAAAAAAAAGAAGTTGAAGATCTTATATCAATCGCTGCTATTCTTTCTCAAACCCGTAAATTACTTATATTTTATATTTTATTTTGTTTCCTTTAGCTTTTCCCCTTCCAAATAGAGCCTAGGTCTTTATTGTAAAAATGCTTTTATCCTTTCATAAGAAACAATTGATATTCAGCTCATCTGAACATTGTCATTTCCCTTATTGATACTGTATCAATGTTTCCTTTGTGTGTGTGAACAGTTCTACTTTCAGAATGGACAGCCACCCCCAAATGAACTAAAAGAGCGGTGCTTAGAAAGAATTGCTCAGATTTTCTCTGGCAAGTTGGATGGATTGCAAATTCAAGGTGCATGGCATTTCTATCTTATTTGTATTTGGATGATTTGAATACATAGCACTCAATTCCTATGTATTTACGTATCTGACGCCTAAACTTCAATTTTAGCATATATGTCACTTACCTATGCATGGAAAGGTGTATCTCACTTTTTTAAAATTTAAAATAATGGTATTTTTGATGCGATATGAAAGGTTTCGGTGGTATAAAAGGAAAAAATAGAGTTTAGTTGTTAGATATGTAAATAAATAGGAATTGTGTGGTATGAATGTAAATGTCCCTTTTATCTTCACGTTAAATTGCACCTTAAGAAGGTGAACTATTTTCTTTCTATGGCATCAGAATTTAAAATTGTTACTAAAGAAATTTGCAAGCTGCCGTCCTTCTTTTCTAGTGTTCTTTTCAGAAAGATTGATGCTGACTGTGCTGGAACTGTAAATAGGTGTGCAATCTTCTTTTACCCTAAATTTTTTAAGCGGTATTTTGTATAATGATAAGATCAACTAATGAGAGTTTCTCTTCCATATTTGCTTGTTTTTTTATGTAGGGAAGATCTTTGTTTATTCTATCTAAATTAAACTGCAGTTGGTTGGGTTCACTTTTGTTTGCGAGTCTTTGCATCAAACCTAATTTTTATATATAATTTTTAGCTCAGCATTTACCACCATCTGCATTCAACTAACTTTTTAGGGGTTGGGCTCTGAATATAAATCTTTTGTGTCTTTCAGTGGTTTTTTATTTTTCTATAGTGGCTGGTGTAGTTATAACCGTAAATGCTGTTTTTATTGAAATTATGTTCCTGTAAGCATAGGTTTATTTGTCGTTCTTTAATTTATATGATCTCTAATTTGCCAGTTCGACTTTGGTATGATGATAGGGATGCATTTGTTAGTTATTGGGTGAATAACAATATGATGACTATGGATACACCAACTCAAATATTTAATATTTTGAAGCATCCGGACCGCAACTACCTTATTCAGGTTAGTTTTTACCTTTAATTATCTTTCTTTTTGTTGAAGCATTTACATCTGGCATTTTTGAGCTTTTACCACCATATTTCTTCTTATTTTCATTTTATACATGTCCGTTGTTTGTTTCTACTTCTTACACTTCAGTTCAGCAAGGTGATGAAGCACTTGGTGCTACGTTGTCTTACTTTTCTATTTCTGAGTGGATTAAAATGAATTGGTGCAGGAGGACTTCAAACCGGTACTTAGGGATCTTTTGGCAACTCATCCTGGACTGGAATTTTTGCAGGGTACTCCTGAGTTTCAGGAAAGATACGGTGAGGTTTCTCAGTAGCTTGCAAGATATTAAACAATTTGTTGTTGTTCCCACTAGTTGATGTTATTTTATTTTTGTATGAATTGTCAACGTTAATTCTATTTTGATGTTCTTAATGAGGGTTAAGTTCCCCATGTTTCCCCTCAAATGTTGGAATGAAGAGGGACTATCATGGGTTCCATTTAAGATTGCGATTCTCTTTCCTCATGGCAAAAAGCCCACACCTCTTTTGTTCATTATTTTATTCAAATTAGTCCTTCTCAGATGCCCAATGCCATTCCTATTAATTTACTCATAAATAAAATCAGTTAAGTGATTCAATATTATTGGAAGCCTAATGCTTCTTGCTTGCTGGTGTTGTGATAACTTTTTTCCCTTTGCCCAATACCCTTCTAGTAATAATGAGGTTCTGAGTAGTAGTTATAGCAACCTGTGGAACTTAACCAAGATTGGGGACTCAACTAAGATGAATTTTACAAATAAAGAAAATACCAGTTTTTGTTTTTTTGTTGAATGTGATTTTTGGTCTCAAGTTGAAGTGGTTCAAAAGTGCATGGAAAGAAGAAAACTAAACTTGAACACTGGTGGAAGTAGAACGATAAACAGTAGGCTTCTTGTAATGGTATTGCTTTTGAATCAAAAGGTCAGGATTTTGGATCCTGCACTCAATTGCAGTTCTTGATGGATAGCGCCATGCTATTTTTTTCAGTAATTTTATTAAGTAAAAATAGAAGCTGCTAAGTCTACTCTATAGAAAATTTGTGATAGGTTGCACCTTGATTCACGTTCTACAGCAGGCTAGTGCTTAATAGGGGTGTAAACGAGTCGAACACTAGCGAGCCCAGGCTCAGTTCGTGTTCGGCTTGTTTATATTTCGAGCTCAAAAAATGTGTTAGTGTTCGGCTCTATTATTTAGCGAGCCGAACACGAGCCGTACACGAACAAAGAGTCGTTTTGAAAACCCTAATCACGTAGTCATAAGATGTTAAGGATTGGGGAAATATTTAAAACATCATTTGAATCTAATTTAATATTTTTTATTCTTCTTTCTTAATTAATACTTTTTATTGATTATAAATCTTTTGTAGCCTTGTATTTAATTAAACTTTTTAAAAATATTACAAAAAATTAATTGATTAGTAGTATTTCGAGCCAAAATGAGCTGAACGCGAACGAACGAATATTTATTTGTGTTGTTTGAGTTCGGCTCGTTAACTTAGCGAACGAGCCGAACACAAGTTGTTCGCGAACAACGAGCTGTTTTGACAGCCCTAGTGCTCAATAGGGCGTGCATCTAATCATGGTCGACCTGCAACTCTGGTTTAGCCTTTGTCCGCTGCAGAGCTAGTTTTCTCCCAATTGAGGGGGCCAAATAAATGCTCTCTCTTGAATCTTAACCTTAAATTCTGAGTGCCACTCACGATTTTCTCATTTGAAATTAGTCCTTCATAACTCAGAAAAGCTAAGGGGGGCCCTTCCTTCTCTTATAAATTGGAGGGGATGAGACTGATAGACACATGAGAAAACATAATACCCACTTGGCAACAAATTGTTGGTGGATTAACATTATGAGCCTCTCCAACAATATGTTATCCCATATTTCTATCTTTTTTCATATGCCTCCTAAACTTCTAGCTCGCTAGAGCATACACTCTCCCATAGAGCTGATGCAAGAATGCTGCGAATGCCTACTTTTTTTTTGCATTGAGGGACAATGTTTTGTCGCCTATATGACCTAGGCCCACTATGCATGCTTTTCTTGGCTTGGGTATGATTTGCTCAGCTTGATACTTGTTGCCCTTTCTTTACTGGGAAGCACTGTTGAATTTTTCAACAAAATTTAAAATTAGAAAAAATCACAATTTCGCTCTGCATTGCTGGAATGGAAATCATATGATCGATGCATAGCAAAACAAAACATTGAAGAAGGAATAAAGAAAAAAAATGGAAAAAAGCCTAAGTTCACAAAATTTGTACGAAAGTTTAAATAAGAGCCCAAACATATATTTACTTACAAAAGTTTGTTTCTGTTGCTGGAAACACAATCAAGTTTGGTCTTTTAGTAGGGGAGGTCAAGAATGAATCATGCTTCCCAGTTTATTTAAAAATAAATAGAACTAAAATCTCACAAAAATATCATCCTTGAGCTCCCTTTGTTCTTTGTTTTAGTCATCCGTAGTATTTCACTAGTCAATCACTATCTAGTTGTAGGAATCCTTGACAATTTTTTTGGAATATATTCAAAAAGGGTGATGAGTTATACCATTGCATGACCATCTACAATGTACCACAGACATACTTGTTGCATGCCTTAGGCCCGATCAAATGACTCAAAATGATTGTGCTTCAATATTTGATGTGTGCGCTTGAATTGTTGTTATTTGTTGGAAGGAGAAATAGATTTCTTCAATAGTTTAATGGGAAATAGTGGTGATGCAATCCGTTATTTGGGAGAGTACTATTATGGGTCACCTAAATGTTTGTGGGGATGACGTCAATATTGGAATTGTTAGGATATAGGACTCGTAAGGAAGCAGGGACATGATAATTGCGTCGTAGTTGTAGATAGGGGTGTAAGTGGGCAAAGCCAATTTATGAGCAAGCTTGGGTTTAGTTCGATAAGTGGCTCGTGAATTGAGCTTGATGAACTAACAAGCCAAGCCCAAGTCAGCCTTGACTCGACTCTTTGCTCGTGAGCCGACTCATTTAAAAAAATATTAATATAAAATATACTCAAAATATATGAAATTTCAAGATATTATCTTTATACTATTAAAGTATTAAAAAAAAGATATCTTATATTTTATAGAAGTAGTTTATCATTATTTATCTCCCAATTACTCATTTTATTATTATTTTATTTTAAAGTCAGTTTAAATTAATATTGTTGCCTTTTATTACAATAAAAAAGGAAGTTCGTGAGCCGGATTGAACTCATAGACTTATGCTCATACTTGATTAATTAATCAAGCTCAAGCTCAAGCAGAGTGTGACTTGAGCTCGACTTTACTTGTTTACACCCTTATTTGTAGAACAAGATCACTATGCATATGGGTAGTAGGGACTAGGATGCAAGTGTAAGGCTCTAGTATGCTTTTGTCATAGTTTGTGCGAAATAAGGGTGCATTCAAAGTCACATGCATGATCACTTGCATGATCAGAGGGTGGTTCTTAGCACAAGCGTAAAGTAGTATGGTGTGACCATGACAAGTAGCTATGGGCTTGAGGTTATGTGTTTGGGATTGATGCTAGTGGCCAATGTTCTCCAATTGCAAATGGGATTGTTGACGAGGTCTGGGAGTGCACGCTTAATTGGTCTAGTGAAGAAAATTGGAGGATTGTCAAGGGCGTGGAAGCCTATGCTGAGTGCGAGCATGAGGCTTGCTTTGGTGGGTGTGCGATTGAAAGGTCGGTTGATTTGGGACGGTGGAGAAAATGATCAATTTTGGCTTTAGACACTAGTAGATGAGTGTATGGGTGAGTTTGATGGATTTCGATTATACAAAATCATAAAGGAATAATACTTGACCACTGCACAAAAAATTTGATGAGGAAGAGGGAATATCATGAAGGGCATCCATCCTAAGATGCATTTGGGGCAAACAAGGCCATAGTGATGTTTTTAGAGATTTACGTCTCCCATTATTCTCACTAGTACTCAAATGAGAACAAAACTTCAGCTTCCATATTTTGTAGCCCATGATAGAAGAGCAACAAAACAAAAGTTATAAAGGAAGGAACTTATGTAAAACATCCCTCTATTGTAATTAATAAACAAAATAGGAAGTGCTCCAGAAAAGGAAATCACATATAAGTCTCTCAAAAAGCCCAAACCAGTGAAGGTATAGAGCCCTTTAAAGTAAAAAATAATCAAATCAAGAATCTGGATGCAATTAGATGCAGTTGCTCTGAGATACCAAATAATGAAGGAAATATGTAGAGAGAGGAAGGAAAGTTATTTTGAGCATTAAAAAAATATATTTATTCACTTTTAGTAACAAAAAAAAAAAAAAAAAACACCCCAAAAAAATATCCCAAACAAATATCCTAAAAAAAAAAAACTGAAAAAGAAAAAAACAAAAAACAAAATTGATCCCAAGCAAGCCCTATGTTTAGGGCCAAACAGGAACTGGTTCCACAATTTGTTTGGGTCATGCAAGTTTCTCCATTGTTATTCCCTGCTATATTTAGCTTCTTACTGAAGGCTGCTTTTAGAGGCTTCTTTGATGGCGCTTATAAGGACTAAAAAAGCCTCCTACTTCAGTTGCCTCTGGGGTCCCTCGTATATTTTGGGCTCTAATTGCCTTTTCAGGTTCAGCGTTAGTTCACTTTAATGTAAGGTTGTATTTTGGTCTTTGTTTACTTTAATGGTATTTTTAGCTAAAGCACCTATCAAGCATGCAACCCAACATAAAAGTAGAGAGACTTCTGTACTCTATAAAACTTTGATTCCAAATTCAGTTGAAACTAAGAAATGTCATTGCTTTTAAACTCTTTCTTATTTAACATTATGTTCTTATATCTTGCCTTTTTATAAAAGTAAATTGGGAAATTTACATACTTAGCACTTAATTCTCATGTATTTATATATCTATCCCAATCTTTCATATTTACATACATAACACTTTGATGCTTTAAACCTATGCATGAAAAATGAATATTTCACTTTTAGATAGTGGAAATAGTGCTGTTTTTGTTTTGATATTAAAGTTTCAAGTGCTATGTGTGTAAATATGAAAATTTTAGGTGTGAGATACGTAAAGACATAAACATTGTGTGCTATATATGTAAATGCTGCCAAAAATTATGTTTTTTGTTAATTTCTTTTGCAAAGATACTTTAAATCTAGTTTATGCATGGGCGCAGTGTTGCGGATCTTAGTTCATTCGTGTTGTTTGACTCACTTCCTTTAAAGGCTTGAACCACTGCTTGTAAATTGAGATCTAACAACTCCCATGCTTGATTCAATTCCAAATGTGCTGCTTATTTCTTCAATGAACATTTTTCATGCTAATTTATGCGCCACCCAAATCTTTTTTCCAGCTGAAACAGTCATCTATCGAATATTCTACTATGTGAATAGATCGGGAAATGGTCATCTAACCCTCAGAGAGCTTAAGCGAGGAGATCTAATTGCTGCAATGCAACATGCTGATCACGAGGAGGACATCAACATGGTTTTGAGGTGAGAAACTCATTAACAAATTCCTAAAATTAGTCATATCCGAAAAAATGCTCCACGATGAGTATACTTTCCTTTGCCTCCCTTTGACTGGATTTCTGATATTCTATTTAGTGGCGGATGCTGCTTTTCATTTCTGTCATTAATTTCCTTGAGATCACGTTGAAGAAAAACATTATAGTTTGATAGATTTCCAGGTACTGTGATCTGATGTACTGATTTGTCGTTAATGTTAGCATTTTCATAGAGACTTGATAGTTATGAATATCTTAACCCTCAAATGGGATCTTTCTTAGAAAGTAACTCAGCCCACTCAAAATCTGAACCATTCATGTGTTTTCTGGAGCATGGAACATCGGATATTCACATTTACGCAAATATTGAAGGGAACTAACATATTTTTCCTACAAGCATGACGATATCTTAATTGCATTTTTCTTATCAAACCTACTTGAAAGAAAGAATATTGAATAAAAAATTCTCTCATATAAACGGTATTTCAAGGTTCCCCTACTGATTGATCTTACCCTACAGATCTAACACGTCTTTCTCTGTAAATATTTTAAATACCCGAAACCTCAACTCAGTGAGAATGGACCCACTTTGACAAACCCTGAAAGATGAGAAACTGTAGTCTACAATCTGGTCTACAGTCTCTAAGTGAACGGAACTATATTATGTTAGAAGTCATATCTAAATTAACAAGTGCAACAAAAAATAATTACATAGACCATGTCTGGATATTTTTTGCTTTCGTTTTATTTTTAATTTCAATTTAAACTCTCACATATTTAGGCTATCTCTCTATTTTATATTTGTAAAACAATAATATAAGACATGTTTGCAGCTAAAATATAAAAAGAAAAAAAATCTAAGCAATTATCGATTAACTCTATTTAAATTTTAATTAATTTTTGCCATGATTAATCTAATTAAATATTATTTAACCCTTATTTAAATTTACCTATCATCATAAACACTTGGTTAATTAGTATTTGAAGTAATTATATTAAATTAGTCGGTGAAACTTTCTTTTTATTAATTTAAATAATTATCTTCTTTAAAATCATAATTAATTTGTAATTAATGATGATAGATATCTAATTATTATTCATGAGTTATTAATTATACTATTTATAATAAGCATAATTCAATACAGATAAGCTATAATGATTTTAATAAAACCTAAATTAATCCCTAACTAACCTAAATCATTAAGAACTTAATTTGCATAATTAATGCTAATAAAATATTTATCAGCTTAACTTAAACCTTGTTAATAGTTTATTAGATTAAATCACACACTATTTACCAATTACTATTAATTATTTAATCATATCATGCTTAATTTTCATAATTTAATACTGCCAAGATCTTAATAAACGTAATAAAATACTAATTAGTTTCTAATTAATTTAAAAATTTAACTGCCTTTTGGCTAATTAATCAATTGGTTTATTAACATAGACTTTTTCATTAAAAAATAAAAAAAACTTGTGATCTTAATTAACACACTGATTAATTTCTAATTATATTTAATATACAAGATGATAAGTTATTTTGATTGATTAATTAATTAGAAATGATGGATAGGAGAGTAAGAACCCCCCATACCCAACTTGAAGTGATTTGTTTGTATAACTTGGAACTTAGGAGCACTCAATTAGCCACACAAATAATTTGATTTTATTCTCTAATAATCAATAACCAATTACACAGCATGGTTTGTTTCTTATAGAAATAAAGGATAAGGCCAAATATTTGAAATCAAATTCAATCTTAATAAATGTTCAAATTTCAAGCACTCTTTCTGAAAAGAAGATACAATCCTATAAAATAATTTAATTTTAAAGATTGAGAGAAATTGACTTAAATTGACTTAAAACATGCATGGTTCAATTCTGTTTTGACTCTTTGTAATTGGTTTATGGCCAGTTTTGTTTTTACGGGATGATTTGGGTAGTTTACAGGCCGATATTGTATCAAATCCTCCAGGGTGCAAAGAACTCTTCTCTGGAGAGTTAATATCCATCTAGTCATTCAAGATAACTCTTTGTAATTGGTTGGTTTTTGTAGTTCATCTATGGTTTTATCTAGAAAAGGAGGTCTGTCTTTTATTTGCTAGTATTACTTATTTGAAATGATACTTCTAACATCCAAGACAGCAGATAGCCGGACATAATTAGAATGAGATCAATGACAGAGAGAACTTTAGTAGAAATTCCTCTTTGGAAGAATCAACAAGAAATTTTTGAGGTTGCAATATTCCTGGATAAGATAACATATCCTCAATGTTGAAAATTAGATTAGTCAACATATATGAGACAAATTTAACATATAAGCATTGAAACTGATTTTTTGCTACTTTTGAAAACCTTATGCTCTTGCATTCGATTTCTTATGCTTGTTTTTACACTTATATGACTCATGATAGCCACCCTATTTATATGATTACAATTGTTTTTAACATTCATAGTATTAAAATATTTTTTTGTTAAGAAATTCATTTTACTTTCTAATATCATCATGTAAAGCATTGAGATATTATGCAAGGGATGCAACACAATCATAATTTACATGTATTTAGAAAGGGAAAAGAACTCTAGGCTTTCTAGGGTCCGATCCTTGAACAATTTAAAATGATGCCTTGCCCATAGATTTGCATATAATGTTATTGTATGTATATTTAGTAGTAGGAAGATATATATCCCAATTACCATGATTTTTTCTATCAAACATTTTAATAAATTTCTAAGACTTTTATTTATTGCTTCGTTCCAACCATCAATTTAATGGTGAAAGATTGATGAAATCTTAAGAATAGCATCTAACAATTTTTTTATGGTTTTTAAAAAATAAGAAACAAACTTGTCATCTTTATCAATGTTCTTGGATAACCTAACAATTTATTTGAAGAAAGTTCAGCTACATAAAATGTATCAATAATCCTGGTGCATGATATGAAGTGAGACATTTAAAAAAAAACTACATATTGCCACTAGTACACTATTCTGAACACAAAAAATACTCATTAACAAAATTAATCTAGGGAGTCAAGGGTCTCATGGCGCTTAGCAACTTGATCATTTGTTCGTTCTCTTGGTTCTTTTGCCACGCTCGCATGCTTATCCCTTGTCATTCCATTGCACGTTTATGCTTTTCCTTGTGCTCAAAACTCTTGGCTTCATGCAGATGTTATATTCTTGAGCCCCGTGCGTCTTTTCCCTTTGTTGTTCGCTCATGCATGTGAATGCTTTCTCTCATGTTTGTGAGTGCTTACATGCATTGTAGCTCCTCATGGTTCTTGGGAAGGTTCTTGGTGCTTCAAACTTGTTCTTTGCTATGACTAATTTCCACTCTCCCTTTGAGATGCCTTTCATCTCTTGCTTTAGATTATTGTTATTTGTAACCTCATAGCTATTTGGGTAGCACTTATTGGCTCTCCATCTTCTTTGTCCCATCTCCTTTGCATTCTTTTCCTTCCATGAATGTTCCTTGGGTTATAGTGGTTCTTCAAAATTGTCAATTATCTTCACCTTTGGTGTTGATAGCTCCTATTGCTTTGGAGAGTCCTCTTGCTGCTTACATTTCATAGGATACCAAACCTTTTATTGCTTATAATTTTTGTTGTTTTGCAAAAAATTGTAGGTGGTTTCATCGGACTCATTTCCAATAAAATTTAGTTATATTGAAACATAAGCAATCACCTTTATATGAACGCAAAACTATGTTCATTTTTTTCTGAGAGTGATATATTTGGGCGTGGTAGACTGCTTTTGATATTGTAAGCTTATTCCCTTTGGGCCACAATATGGAGTTGATTAATGAATTCCCGTTAAACTTACTTTTTGTTGGTTAAAATTCAGTTGGGTTTAGTGATTCTCATCACATCATAAAAAGACTATAGCAGTTACTATATTTAACTTTTCTCAAGATGCACTCATTGGGAAAAAAATTGTGGATTAGCTCAGTGTTGTGGATGGTGGCATAAAATAGCATTTGAAGGCATCTCCTCATATTGGTCCTTTTGTATAATACTTCAATACAAGTTCTCTGATTGTTTTAAGACTCGTCATTAGTTCACATTTTGAACCCAAAATTTAGAACCTTTTGACTTTCCTTAGAATCCTGAGACAATTGTGATTTCGCATGCTAGCCCTATAGAAATGTTCTCTGTAGCTTTTGCAAGCTAGACAATGGAATTTAATTCTTCAATTATATAAGTTCCCCTCCTTATATCAGAAAAGATATAGATGATCATGATATTCAACAATCTAAATGATTTTTATGGGAGTATTATGAAGGAAGACATTCTGATTGATAGTATATTTCAAATCCTATTTGCTAGGCGTAGTTGTAACTGAAAATCTTATAATTCCATTCTCCTATTTTTACTAGGCTTTGAGAAGGCAGTTCAATTAAGCTTTTCTTCCTCATGATTGATGGTTTATCCTTTAACTTCAATTTTTTATACTTTATTTGTGCTCTTACAATTCTAGGTAATTGCTCTTGTTATGCTTGTTATTACTTTGCTTTAAACATGTGCTTTAAAAAAATTCTATGGAGTCGAAGGGATGGGAAGAGAAGTGTGCATGCTAGCAAGTTGTTTAATAGTATTTCTTATTTTGGCATGCATGCATTGACCAACAGTTTTACTGGTATTCCTTTTCAACGATGTCTAATGGTACTTGCATTCAAGTGAATGTATGATTTCATATTACTATAAACAACAACAAGCCTTTATCCCACAAGTGGGGTCGGCTATCTGTATGGTTTTATATTACTTTAAACATGATAAAAAATGTGTAAGCTCATCTTCGATAGTGAGAATTGCATGAATGTTGTATCAATTTAGAACTTCAATTATTCAACTTAAAGGCCAAAATCACATCTACAATTTTGCAAATTACACTTGGTAGGTAAAACTATAATCTTCATAACCCAAAGATACTTTATTCGCATTATGCTTGCCACATTTACTGATAAAGATATAGTTAGTGTTT